ATATATACACATATACATACATACATAGTAAACCAGCAACTCCTAACAATGTAAGAAATTATACTTACTAGTTTTTATATTGTTTATAAGTATTGTTTTCTAAAATGACTGGGGGGACCTAAGATCAGTCTATTGTGGCTTAAACCATCATCGGCCACTCATCTTGAAATAGTCAACCATCCATCCATCATCTTTTACCCGCTTCTTCCATTTTGGGTCAAAGGGGTCGCCGGTGCCCATGTCCAGCAATCACTGTGCGAGGGGCGGGGGACACCCTGGACAGGTCTCCAGTCCATCACAGGGACACATCGAGACAAACAACCATTCACTCTCTCACTCACACCTAGGGACAATTTAGAGTTACCAGTCAGTCTAACATGCATGTTTTTGGGCTGTGGGCGGAAACTGGAGTATCCGGAGAAAACCCACGCATGAACGATTGTCATACATTCACTATTCAAATCCTACTGTGATGAGCGACATCGGTGTACTGCTTGTTAATGTCAAGAAATGGTTTGTAGGGAAACATGCATAGTTGGTTCATCCTGAGGACCTGACTTAATTTTGTTACATTTTTCTATCTGGATTGTTGAGCATGAATCAGGATTTTCATAGTTGATCTGGTCTTATATAAACAAAACTAGATGCTTTGATTTATCATCAGTTATTTGAAACCAAACCGTATTTGTGTAATAACAATGAACAGCGACGACAGTGGCACGTGTTGTACCAAAACTTTAGATCATTTATAGAAGTTCTGACAGATGAGTGCCAGACGTGTGTGTGTGTGTGTGTGTGTGTGTGTTACTACAGTATAAATCAATGCTTCACATATAGTTTAGTTCCAGTGAGTACAGAAGCTTAGTGTTGTAAGATTGCCTCTGATGTTTGCACAGGAACTAGTGGAGGATGAATATTACACTACAGTCTTGGCTTCCCCGTCTCTTGTTAAACAGAGGTCCAGTAACAAAAAGCTCTCACAAAATTCACCTATCAGTTGCAGTTTTCATCTTTTTTTTTCATAAAACAGAATTTACACAAATGCATCTAAATTTTTGTTACATGTGGCTATAGAGAATTTGAGCTGTTAATGTTTGTATCCCAGTTTGCACAAAGCCAGTTGTATAATTCTTTACAGAGCGTTACACAACTAGGCTCTGTTTATTTGCATTAAGGCAGGAAGTGATGTCATATTGGTGACTTGGGAGAGGCATATTGTTTTTGCCATAAATAAGCCGAGGCACTCGAGTTGTTGACTTATGATCAGACCATCCAAATTCCCTGTCCATGTCTTTTTATTTTTAGCAGCTAACTTGCTTTTACTGATAAACTTGTAAAAGCGAGATGATTGCACCAAAATGTTCACGGTAACTTAAAAGTTAAACTAACTTAAAGAGGACCAGATTTAACTTTTTTAGATTTTTCTACCTGGATTATTGAGCATGCATCAGGATATAAAAGTTGTGACGTTTAGTTCACTTCAGCTCGTCTCTGGAAAGATGTTTGTAAATGACAGCAGCTGCTGAATATTTTGCAGTAAAAAGCAGCAGGTTTACAGCCAAATATGACTTCCGTTTTATCTGCTGAATCAACTCGAGTTTTTATTTATTTATTTATTTATTAACAGTTTTATTCACGTAGATTAAACCTATTTTTATTTTTTGATCTATTGGTTGTGCTTTGTGTGTACATCATTTGAAAAATGATTCAAACTAAATGTAAATTTAGTATAAAATGCTGCATCTCCTACATGTAAATCAAGCTTCCTCTGATGTTTGGCTCTACTTTGACTTTCAGCAGTAAATTTCTCATAATAAATTCTTCGACTACGTGGCTGGTTACAGAGGGGAAACTTCACAGCTCTTAAATTTTTCTCTTCTAGAGGAGGTTCACTGTCTCCATGAGGGGCTGGTGGAAAGACAAACGGAGGAAATGAGAATAAGGCGCATCAAGCAGGTCACGTCCATGGACAAACTGGAAGACAGGTTTGTTGTTTCCAGAACTGCTCACTAAGCTGATAATGGGTTCAGCTCAAAAAACGTTTATGACTTTTAATAAAAAGAACATGCTCTTTCATCGTTGTGTCACAGCCTTTCTCTTTTCTGTATGTTTTTTCAGTTTTAACTCGAAGCTTCACAGAGAGGAACTGAACGACCTGCGGAGAGAGGTCGAGCAGCTGAAAACATTGCTCAGTGAGTGCAAGAAATACTCACTGCTCTGCCGTGTTTGTTTTGCTCAAGTCTTATCCCATGCTGGGCTTATCAGATATAAGCAGGAACAACCACCGTCACACTTTTTTGTATTTTCTATCCTAAAAGGGAGACAGGAGACAGACCTGCACCTCCAGCAGAAAGAGGCAAGGGAGACCAGAAGACTGTATGAATGCAGCTGCAAAGTACACACACACACACACACACACACACACACACATTGTGTCATAACGTTTGTTTGCTTGTGCCTTTGCTGCTTGCGTTGTTTCGCATACTCACCGGTTGTTTTGTGTACTTTGCTCAGACACTGGCGGAGCTGACAGAGTGCTGCAGAACACACAGGGATGATTTGGTAAAAACTCTCTCCCAGTATTCCCACACTCAGCAAGAGCTCCATCACATCAGGTATGTGTGAACATGTGCGTGCAGACTAGAGCTGTCATTTCTAACCCGAGCTCTAAGCCCGGTCCCACCTGACCCGAATTCGGGGCCGGCTGGGCCATGATAACGTGCTGGATGGCCGGGTCAGTGTCAGGCTTTTAATTGGATCAGGATCAGCCGCGTTCCAATTATATGATAACATGGCCTGCCATATAATCACCAGCCACACACACGCCTTGAAAGTGGTAAAAAAAAGTTCAGTTAAGCTTCAGATGGACTGTACTGCCAGGCAGCGATCCATCACCCAAATGGACGTTCATTCTGCCGCTGCACTCAGCGGACGTGATGACGCTAACATAGCAGCTCCCAAACAGGTGAGATCCCAAAGCAGACATGTCAGAGCAGGGTCCGTGTCGGAATAAATCAGGCAGAAACAGGGTTTAAATGCTTCTTTATGGCCATGAAAGTACAAACACCCTCAGCTCTGATCTTCTGCCCATTTTATTCAGGCATGTGTCCCCGACCGTTAATAATTAATTAAAAATGTTGTTTTTTTTCTTCTGGGTTTGGACCTGTAATTACTTTTAATATGTCGGGTTGGCTGGGGTTCGGAAATTATGACTGCGGGCTGGGGCCGGGTCAGATCAGATTTTTTGGGCCTGAAGTGCAGACCTTCTTTCAAGGGTTTAGTAATGGGAAAAATGTAAACAAAAAATGTTTTATTATTGTTTATTTGATAAATTATATAAAAAATTACACATGAAAGACTATAATCATATTTGTATGTAAGGTAAGTTTTAGAAAGGTGGTGTTATTCTTTTTGTGCCAAAAGTTTGTGTCTTGCCTCTCAACTTTGGATTAAATTTTACAACAGAACAGAGTTGTCAGAACTAAAGGATGAAGTGAGAAGTCTCTCCTCCAGAGGACAGGAGCCAACATCTTTGTTGTCTCCAACATCAGGTGAGCTCCTCTGTTTCTCTGACTGTTGTCAACAGAACAGTAAACTTGTAACTATGTTTTCTGTTCTCTCCTAGCGGCCCCACCTCTACCAGTCCCTCATGGCCACAGCAGGCGGTTCAGAGCAGACGAGACAGATTCTGACTCGGAGGACTTCAGCCCAACCTTGAGCCTAGCCGAGATCAGCTCAGATGATCTGTCGTGGCTGGATGACAAAGAACCAGGTGTGAATTTAAAGTTTCTGAGTGAGAATTATCTAAGCAGATTTACACAGCTACGTAGTACCGAGTGTTTTCACTTTATTACCCTCAAAGATGCCTGTTCATGGACACAAATTAAATGTTATAATGAGGCCACAAGCAGCAGAACATTATGTAGAGGAGCAGATGGTCACAGTCTGATGACAATTTCAGCAAGCTGGGCCGTGTAGTTCCTCTACCACACACCTGGCTCCACCTTCACTCAGATTTTCTGACTCGCTCAGGAGAGGTTTCATCTTTTAACTCTTGAGGGGAAAAAAAAGTAAAGTCCAAGTAATTTAAATTAAATATCTCAACAAAGAAAATCATGTAGTCAGAGAAAGAATGAGATGGAAAAAATTGTAAAAAAAAAAAAACCCAAAACATCTGAAATGAAAAATAAGGTGATGAGTAAACTGTGCTCGTCCATCATCACAGCAGCAGGTTAGTAGTCCTACTGTGTTCCTGCTTTTAAAACTTTATTTTTTTCCTCCACCTCTGTGGCCAGTCATCTGCTGTAAAATGTAAAACCGTGTGTGTGAGCTTGTGCACAGCTCACCTTTAAGAATTACTATAAAGAAAACACTGATATTCCAGGAGAAGATGAGCCTAATGTTTTGCAGAAGTTCACTGAAATCCAGATCGTTTTCAATACTGCGTTCACACACAAGCACACTTTGACAATAATTCAGTTCTTGAGGGAGAACACCTGAACGTCTCCAAACTAACTGCACTGACGGCACAACAAACAGCTGTCTAGTTACTTTCATAATTTAACAGTTTGTGTTTTTTCATCTCTGCCAGCTCAACGACTACGAACGCACCTCAGTGTTCAGTCCAAGCGGAGTGAGTTTGCTGTTCCGGGCTCAGATGTAGAGGATCGTGTTGACAGCGATGGTGATGATCTTCTAGACGACGTTGATAACCTGGAGTCAGGATCCAACCTAAGTCTTAGTGACCTTTGACCTTTGAAGGTGTTAGCGGGGTTGAGAACAGCAGGCAGCCTCAATAAAACATAATAAAATAAATAATAAAACAAACTTGGCACAGAAGACAGTATATAGATGTATGTAAGTTAATCCTGTTGTTTAATCTGCTTTGGTATATACTTGTACTATTGGAAGTTTTTTTTTTTATCTTAAAAAGGTTTTTAAGTGTTACCATTTTCATAAAAGTTAGTGTATGTACATGTGTGTTCATTTACCTTGGAATCACTGTTTCATCAAATTAATACTTGAAATACCATTCGTTACAAGTTTCCTTTAATCAGTGTATTTCTCTACATGTACATACTTGTACAGCAGAGAGTAAAGAACAAACTTGAGGCTAGCAGCTGTTTGAAGAGTTATTTAATTGGCCACTTGTTTCATGATGGAAACCAGTTAAAGAATATGGTTTTGAAAGGTGCATTTTGTTTCAACATTCAAGGATTCAAGGTTCTTTATTGTCATACGCATCACATGTGGTACATGAGGTGGAACGAAATTGTGTACACAGGGTCCCAGTTACATCCAACAAAAGTATATAATGTAAAAGAAACAGTAATAATATCTAACATATGAACTAAGATAAACGTTAACTAGAAATACACTAAGGACTAGTAACATAAGTCACACAAAGTAATGTATTTGTTGCTACACCTGTTCAATACGTGCTTTCTTTGTGGCAATAAACTGAGTACAGACAGAAGCAACATGATTATTAGTTTAAAGCAGGTTGGCAGATTGTTGGGGCAAGGTGCAGATGGGTGCGTTTTGTGCAAAACTTTGTGTGTTAGGGAATTTTGGATAAGGTTTTATGGATGTTTTACCTACTATGGCTGAGAACGGTAACTGCCCATGAACCATGTGTTTGAGTTAGCAGAGAGAGCTGGATGAGGAGCTGATTTGATACTGCAGGTGCAGCTGTCAGTCCCTGGTCTCCTCTGAGTCTGTCTGTGAACTTGGAGCTGATAAGCATATAAAAACAAGCCTCGCACACTGCCCGGGGCAGATTCTTGTGGCTGGGCTCCATGCATCCTGTACTTCTGTGTAACTTGTTGTGAAAGTCTGTCCTTACAAGTAAAACAGGTAAAAAAATTAAAAACGCTTGTCGAGTGTGGCTTCTTTGAGTAAGTACGATAAATTGAGGATAGTTTTATCCAACTTTTCCCATAACAACAGCAAGATCCGTGATGATGTTATCATTTTACTATGCAGAACTGATTTTTAAAACAAGAAGATAGTTTGTCTAAAATGTCTTTAAATGTATTTTGTTTATTTTATTAGATAACAAAAACAAAGTAATGCCCACTAAACATAATTTGGACAACCGTTGATTACTTTATACTATATATATTTTTTTTTCTTTAAATACTTTTTTGCTCCACTGTATATAGTCAGCCACTGATTGTACAAGTTCTACTTAGAAAGATGAGAGAGGTCTGTAATTTTCATCATAGGTACACTTCAACTATGAGACAAAATGAGGGAAAAACAGGAAATCACATTGTAGGATTTTTCAAGAATTTATATGTAAATTACGGTTGAAAATAAGTATTTGGTCAATAACAAACAAGCAAGCTTTCTGGCTCTCATGGACCTGTAACTTCTTTAAGAAGCTCTTCTGTCTTCCACTTGTTACCTGTATTAATGGACCAGTTTGACCTTGTTATCTGTATAAAAGACACCTGTCCACAGCCTCAAACAGTCAGACTCCAAACTCAACCATGGCCAAAACCAGAGCTGTCGAAGGACACCAGGAAGAAAATTGTAGACCTGCACCAGGCTGGGAAGAGTGAATCTACAATAGGCAAGCAGGTTGTGAATAAATCAACTGCGGGAGCAATTGTAAGAAAATGGAAGACATACAAGACCATTGATAATGTCCCTCGATCTGGGGCCCCACGTGAGATCTCATCCCGTGGAGTCAAAATGATGATGATGATAACGGTGTGCAAAAATCCCAGAACTACACGGAGGGATCTGATGAATAACCTGCAGAGAGCTGGGACCAAAGTAACAAAGACTACACACTACGCAGAGAGGGACTCTAATCCTGCAGTGCCAGGCATGCCCCCCTGCTAAAACCAGTACATGTCCAGGCCCGTCTGAAGTTTGTCAGAGAGCATGTGATGATCCAGAAGAGTACTGGGAGAATATCATGTGGTCCAGTGCGGCCCAAGCCTCCATGAGGCCCTAAGTAAAATTTGTTTTGGGGCCCTTTATTTCTGCTAATAATGTGGATTACTGCAATCAACAGTCAGATGATCAGATCATTCACCACCTAACATAAACTCATTGCAACTCTGACAGCCCTGCTTACATTATCCTTTATGTGTAGTGGTACTAAAAGTAACAAAAGAGAAAAAAAATCACCAGTATGCAATGTATTTTACAGCAAAAGTGTAATCTGGTTTATTATCTTTGGTTCCAATGAACAACAACAGTAATGTTCAAAATAATTTGTAGTGCAAGATCAACAACAAACAGATAAAATAACTTGGATGCATAAAAATAAATTAAATTGTGCAAAAACAGACAAAATTAAATACAATAAAAAAATAAAATATCAAGGAAAATTCTCTGCATTTGTTCATTTACATTTAAATAATGCAAATGAACAATTACTTGAAACCATGTAAAATTGTTTAAACAAAAAATTTAAAGTAATTAGTTCTTAAAACTATGTAAATGTATGCAACAATTTGAAAAACTGAACTTAAAACATTAAACAACCTTTACCCACACATTTGACCTGTTTATATTACTTCTTCCTTCAATATTTCACAAACTTCCTAAAACCTGTTGGGTGGGTGTGTGTGTGTGGGGAGGGGGGGGGGGCGCTATTGGCCCCGGGGCCCTTAGCAGCCGATTAGTTTGCTTATGCCTTGGGCCGGCCCTGATGTGGTCAAATGAAACCAAAACAGAACTTTTTTTGGTAAAAATTCAACTTGTCGTGTTTGGAGGAAGAAGAATGCTGAGCTGTATCCCAAAAGCACCATGCCTACTGTGAAACATGGGGGTGGAAACATCATGCTTTGGGGTTGTTTTTGTGCAAAGGGGACAGGACGACTGATCCGTGTTAAGGGAAGAATGAAGGGGGCCATGTATCATGAGATCCAAAACCACTTTCCATCGGTGAGAGCATTGAAGATTGAAGATGGAACGTGGCTGGGTCTTCCAGCATGACAATGATCCCAAACACACCGCTCGGGCTACAAAGGAGTGACTCCATAAAAAGCATTTCAAGGTCCTGGAGTGGCTAGCCAGTCTCCAGACCTCAACCCCATCGAAAATTTGTGGAGGGAGTTGAAAGTCCATGTTGCCCAGCGACAAACCCAAAACATCACAGCTCTAGAGGAGAAGGAATGGGCCAAAATACCAACTATAGTGTGTGCAAACCTGGTGAAGACTTACAAAAAACATGACCTCTGTCATTGCCAAGAAAGGTTATGTTACAAAGTATTGAGTTGAACTTTTGTCATTGACCAAATACTTATTTTCCACCATAATTTACAAATAAATTATTTAAAAATCCTACAATGTGATTTCCTGGATTTTTTTCCTCCTCATTTTGTCTCTCATAGTTTAAATGTTCCTATGATGGAAATTAGACTTCATCTTTCGAAGTAGAACTTGCACAATTAGTGGCTGACTAAATACTTTTTTGCCCCACTGTGTGTGTGTTTGTTTATACCTAAAAGAGTGTAGTGAGTCACGTGGGTACGTGTCACTTGTTGTATGACAAATATATGAAGTATATATTTATGCATACTTTTCACGAGTTCTTCATTTTTCTGACTGTGTAATGCCGTGCATTGAATTTAACAGAAATGTAACGAGAGACGTTATTACCTTTGACCCATCAAATGAATGGAGTCATTTATTTTCAGAATCAAAGTTTAACATCAAACATTTACATTAATTTGGCAAAGTATGAAAATAATAACAGACAGTTTCACAAATAATGAACTTCAAATCACTCGGCGGTGATTTGAGGACTTTGCTTCAGATATTTCTAAAAATATCTGTACTGATTTATGAGAGAGAAAAGAGTTTAAGATGAAATGGAGATTATCTTACAGAGAACTATGTGAGGGAATTTAATCTGTTTGACCAGAAATTGCACGCTCCGTCAGATCTCAGCTTTGTCCCAGGTACACTTTAGTCGAAGAAGAAACCGTTACCTTGTTGACGATCGATCACCTCAGTAAGAATCCTTTTCAACTGATATCAGCGTCTCCGTTGAGAACAGCTAAAATCCTTGGAGAGTCGTGCGTGGTTAGTTCAAACAGAATCATAATCCAAAACGTCTCTGGATTCTCGGCAATTCTGACTCTTCATTGTCAGCAGCTCTCAGACTCTTTCAGATCTTCTCAGACTCCAAAACTCTCCATAACTCTAGTTCTCTTCTGAACTCCTTGAGAACTTTTTCATTCTCCATTCCAACTCTCTCTAGACTGATAGAACCGGGAAGTTGTCACATTTTAAATGAGTTTACTTCCGAGTTTACTTCAGAGCTTTCTGATTCGTGGATGGACCAGAAAGAGGTGTGGTTTTTTTGACGTAAGTTATTATCAAAAGTCAAGGATTGTTTTCAACATACAGAAAAGATTATTGCAGTCGACCAGACTTCGTGGAGTCTCACACTTGGTAATCTTTTCAAATAGTAAAACATGACATTTCTTCTTCAGTAAACATTTAGTTGACCGAAGCTTCAACTTTCACATACTTACGACTTGACTCATTTCAGACAGAAAATCAAGAAATGCATATTAACCTGATTTCTCCTTTGAATGAGGAATAAAAATCATTACTTACTGTTTATGTAAAATAAAAATGAGTAGTTCTTTTCAACCTGTAAAGCATTGAGTGAACTAACACAATTTGATTATCAAACATTTGTAAGACAGTAATGATTATAGAGGATTGTCTTTTCTGCTTGATTAATTCAAGAAAGAAAGTTCATCAGATGGCTCAGACTTATTCAAATCAATGAAAATAACAGTCTCTGTCCATCTGGTAGATTTGAGGTCATCTAGTTCACTACAAGAGCATGTCACTCTCAGGCTGCAGGCTTACTTGTGGTTCCTAGAGTTTCTAAAAACAGAATGGGAGGAAGATCTTTCAGTTTTCAGGCTCCTCTCTTGTGGAACCAACTTCCAGTTTCTGTCCGTAGGTCTGACACATTGTCCAGTTTTAAGACTGGGCTTAAGTCTTTCCTTTTTGATAAATCCTGTAGTTAGGGTTGGCTTGTTATGCTGCCTTAGGCTTAGACTACAATAAAACAAATTAACGTAATTTCCTTAAATGATTTGTTAAATTGAATAGTTTTTGTTTGATACTATTTCTATCTTAACGTGATTCTAGACCTGTCATTATGTATCTGTTCCTCCTTCCTGTTCCTCTCAAACCCAGCCCGTCGAAGCAGATGGCTGCTTGTCCTGAGCCTGGTTCTGCTAAAGGTTTCTTCCTCATGAGGGAGTTTTTCCTTTCCACTGTCGCCTTCATGCTTGCTCAAGATGAGAGTCTGCAATGGAGTTAATTCCAAGCAGTCTGCTCCTCAGATAAATAATGTTAACTTACTTTATAACTTATATATGAATGGTTCTGTTCAGTGCCCTGAGATGACTTCTGTTGTGACTTGGAGCGGTAGAAATAAACTGAATTGAATTGTCAAGGCTTGCATTGTTGTTTCATATTTTGATGGAAAATCAAAGAAAATGTGGGTAGCAGAGAAAGTACAGAACAGGTATGGAGTAATAATTCTGCACAACACATCCCAGTCTCACATCTGTTGAAGATTCAGATAGGTCTCCTTTAAGTATTTCTCTCTATTTTTGTTCTATTTTTTCCTAAACTCTGACCAGTTTCTCAGTCCATGGCAATGAAATGCATCACCATGCTTCACTGCTCATATGCCATTTTATTTTGCTTCATGCAGGTGTTGTGCACCACATGGTGTCATCCTTGAGTTTTAGTCTTATCTGACCACAGCATCTTCTTCCATATGTTTTTGGAATAGACTTCATACTATACTTAATTCCTTAAGCAATGACTTTTTATGGCTACCTTCCATGAATTACTTACAAAATCTTTATGGTGTGGGGACATTTTTGTTCCATGTTTTCATGTTTATTGAGCAAGATGTTTTAACTGCATGTTTAGTGTTCTAGTGCTAAACTAGTCTCATCTGCCCATGTTGGTTTTTCACTGTAATGTAATTTAGTCAGAAGCCCACATGGGGGCGATGCTGTCTATCAGATGACTTTTTTTTTTTTTTTTTGGCAAACTGATATCAAGAATAAGATTTGGCTTTGAAATAATTTACTTTTGTGAAAAATTGTGATTAAAACATTTTCCAATTATATTGTTAAATGAGAGACCAACTTTTCTTGCTCAGGGTTGAATTAATTCACTTGGTTCTTATGAAACCAGAAGTAAATAGCCTTTTGCTAAATGAACTTCTGTAGAGGAAGAGGTCTTGTAGAACTTCAACATTACTTTAATATAAAGCAAATGTTAAGTAGTGACAAGTACTGCCAGTGGAAGCTTCTGATTTTTAAGATATTCCAAACAGCCTATTATTTGTTCGGTAAGAGATTTTTAAAAATGTATGCACTTCTAACATATTCATATTTGTTACATTTCTAAGTGATAATTTGAGACAAACTGTTGGACAAAATATACACAAGGCTTGTCAAATAATGTAAACGCTTCAGTAAAAATGTCTGATTCAATGTTAATATTTTACCACGTTGACGACACAACAAAAACGGAAAAAAGCGCCCAAACAGTTGCAGATTAAACTATTAGTCAATAAATAATATATAAAAATAAACCAAACTCTTCTTAAAAAAAAATGTTGCAAGTCATTGTAATTTCCACTCCCAACATTTCCGGATCTTCAGAAATCTGTTTTTTCATGTCGTATGTGGTCATCGCGACATAGGTCAGATTTTTCCTACGGTACTTGAACGTAGCAACAGCTCGTTGACGGAGCCGAGCTGCAGGCATCTGACTGGAGTCATCGTCTCATATCCTCGCTGAACAGAAAGGGGTGAAAATGACATTTATTCATATGTACTAGTAATAATACAGCAAGTCTGCATTGCTTTGATGATACTGTCACGCTAAAGCTGTTACAGCTTTATTGTTTGGCTGTGTTTGACATTAGGGCTGCGTCAGGTGCTAAACAGAGCTAGCTTAGCATAGTGGCCTTTGCTACGGTGTTTTTCTACAGCAGAGGTTAGCGATAGCTAAAGTTAGCTCCCGGTTATCTTGTCATTCATAAGCCCGTATACTGGACCAACGTAAATGTTCCGCCTGCTGCTGTGGATATTGTAATGTAGAAAAGCCAGTGTTGTTAAATTCTGAATGTGCTGTCTGTTTTTGATCGTTTGACAGCTCCGCGTGTCTGCAGATGGAGACGCCGGGGAGAATAGCAGGCACATCGGATGCTCTGGACTTCACGGTGGAAAACGTAGAGAAGGTCAGTCTTGACGAGTTATAGCAGCCTGTCAGCATGTTACATGTGGACTGTCTTTGACGATGTCGACCTGAAGATGTTGAGTTTTATTTGTCTTGTTGCTTTAAAATCCAAAGTGTTACTGTGCAAATCTCTGTTGAGGTAATGTGGCTGTGTTTAGGAGTGATGTTGACCTGTTTATTTCTGTGATTACTGTTTGTAAAGACATCATCTGATGACCTCCATCAGTCGGGTCAAGTTCTTACAATTGATGCCTCTGTGTTCAAGTGTTTCTTCAGTCAGATTGGATATATGTGTGTGCGTGTTTGCACACCATGCAGACTGTAAGGGTGCTGTGATGAATCTCCCCTGACAAGGTGTGGGAAGGGGAGACGATGCAAGGTGAAGCAAAAAATGTACTCGATGGAAGAGCAGAGTTAGAGGTGAGGTGAGGGAGGTGTCTGTGAATAGAGGAGAGGGTAAGAAGGTCGGTGATGTTTCAAGAATTATTAGTCAGATGGCAGCGATGAATTCAGTTCAGTTTATTTATAAAGAGCCAAGTCACAACAGAAGTAATCTCAGGGCACTGAACAGAAACATTTAAAAATAATGTTAGCAGAAACATTTATATATCAAATAATAATTTAACACTATTTATCTGAGGAGCAGACTGCTTTGAGTTTAACTCCATCACAGAGCTCTCATCTTGAGCGAGCATGAAGGCGACAGTGGAAAGGAAAAACTCCCTCATGAGGAAGAAACCTTTAGCAGAACCAGGCTCAGGACAAGCGACCATCTGCTTCGACCGGCTGGGTTTGAGAGGAACAGGAAGGAGGAATAGATACACAATGGCAGGTCAAGAATCACATGTTGAGATATAAATAATATCAAATGAAAACTATTCAATTTTAGCAAATCATTTAAGGAAATGTGGCCAATATGTCCTCTAGTAGTGTTAACTTAAGGCAGCATAACAAGCCAACCCTAACTCTAGGATTTATCCAAAAGGAAAGTCTTAATCCCAGTCTTAAAACTGGACAATGTGTCAGCCTCACAGACAGAAACTGGAAGTTGGTTCCACAAGAGAGGAGCCTGATAACTGAAAGATCTTCCTCCCATTTTGCTTTTGGAAACTCTAGGAACCGCGAGTAAGCCTGCAGTATGAGAGCAAAGTGCTCTGTTGGGAAAACATGGAACAATACAATCTCGAATATAAGATGGAGCTAGGTTGTTGAGAGCTTTCTAGGTTAGACGTAATATTTTGAATTCAATTCTGGATTTGACAGGGAGCCAATGGAGATAATCTAAAACTGGAGAGATACGATCTCTCCCACTTCCTCTAGTTGAGACTCTGGCAGCAGCATTTTGGATTAACTGAAGACTTTTTTTAAGGTTTTTGGACAGATGAGATCCAACAAAGTTAAGTCAGGTCCTCTGGACGGTTTCTTTTTGTTGAAACGTTTCTTCTTTCATCCAAAAGACTTCATCAGTCCGAGGAGCCACAACAAACTCAGTCTTATAAATAGCATCTTCACATAGTGGGTCAACCAGTTTGATGGTGCTCAGATGGTTTCTGGAGTCCGCCCTCTCCCTCGCTGTCTCGTTTGAGGCAGTTATGGCCAAAGTGGTTCAAAATATCCTGAATCGTGCTCAATAATCCAGGTAGAAAAATCTGAAACCGTTCAGAGGACCTGACTTAACTTTGTTGGATTTTTGTACCTGGATTATTGAGCATGAATCAGGATATGCAGAGATTAGTTGCATATTCTTACAGGATAAGCCGTTCATCCTTTGGTTTCTGCAAAAGATGGAAGACAAACATTTTCTATGGTCCTGTCTGTTTCACTCTCTGAAGGAGAATTCTGTCAGAAATTTAATAGACCTAATTTAGGTCGATGTGGAGTCACTACAACTTCAGCTGGTGGAACAAGTGTTTTGTGAGTTTGTTTGGAAGCGGTTTAAGTGATGCCGCACATTTTGTTTTCATTTTGACATTAGCTAAATTCTAATAACACACTCATGTATGTGTTAAAAATGTCCAAGTACACAAGAATGTTTTAACAGTCAAGTTGTGACAGTTTTATGAAGATATCCAGTAGGGGTGCACCGATTGCCGTTTTCTGGCCGAGCACCGTTTTCTAAAAAGTCTGACCTGCCTATTCCGATTTTGGCCGATACTGATTTTGTTTTATAAGCGACACTGTCCGGTGTTATAAGATCACAATGCACCTTCAATTTTCCAATATTATTTTATTGTAAAGCATACTCTTGAACAATATCCCAGAAACAATACAAACTTGTTTTAACTGGCCATGAGGTAGTGCTCTGAAATATAAACGAAGTTCAGACAATTGTTGTTAAAACTATAAAAAAATGGTTAAAATCGGTTTCTCATGTAAGTATCGGCCGATTTCCCAAAATTAAGGAAACTGGGGCCGATAAATCGGCCAGCTGATTTATCGGTGCACTCCTAATATCCAGTCTTTAAATGTGCCCACTTTTCAATGTGAAAGTGAAACTGTAAGCTTTAAATGACCCATGCAGGTAGAAAAGCAATGTGATTATTTTTTTATAAGATAATTTAAGTTACATATGAAATGCATTTAGGTTTCAGTGATTTTTCCTAATGTGATTATTCAATAATTAATTTACTTTAAAATGTTTTAGATCATTATCAGGAATATTTGAAATGTTTAAAATGTTAAACTTTACTCTTTTTTTTTTTAAATTGTATTGTGCAAATAATAATTTTTTTTTTTAGGTCTTGTGTATTTTGCATCAGAAGCCATTAAGTCTGCTTTAAGTAAATTATTGTAATCACATAAGTTATTGCAACATGACAGATGTGATTTTGTGATCTATGATTGTTTCTGCTTTTATTCTGTAATTGTATTTTAAAGTTAATGAAATGCTCCTCAAACACTCATCTGCATTTATCAAATTTCAATATGGTCTTCTCATGAGAGCAGATTTTCCTTCGTCTTCAGTGGGACTTTGTTATGAAATGTATACAGCGCTGTTCTTGCACTGGAGTAAATGACTAAAAGTTTCATTTGTAACACTTTCAGCAGCTGTTAACGCACCTACAGCAGCTTCATGCTGGAACACCTCACTGCACTTCCCACGAGCCACTGGTGTTTTAAAATAAATACTTGGGGTATGAATCTGCCAGTTTTGTACAGTTAGATGTTGGGGAGTGCATTGTTGTTGTAAAGATGGTTTTGGAGCTGATTGTTCCTGGTTCAGTGTTTGCTTGTGGCCAACAGAAAACTCTTTGTTTCGTATGGAGTCTGTGGAACAAGGTTGCACATTGTTAGTGTCTGTGTGCGTAATGAGAGAGTTGCTTTCTGTCTTACCGTACATTTGATTATTTGCCAAACAAGTGGATTGCAGGAAAAAAGTGATTATAAGATTTAATAACTTTTATTAACTTTTAAAACCCCTCCCCAGACAGTTATTGTAAAGCTCTGCACTGTGCTGTGTCCTTCCTGCCTTGCATCTCGCTCACTGGCACTTGGGCAGGAGTCATTTTTGTATACCTTAATGGTCTTTAATCCCTCAACTACCTACACAAGATACTTTCCAAATAAGCCAAACGAGGTCCATCTAATAGGGTTTAGCTCCCACTCTTTTACTTTGCAATGCTCTTCTGCTATTTGTACATGGAACACAATATTAGAATAAAATCTATTGTTTAGAAATATTTTGGGAAATCTTTCAGATTTTACTTATCTTTTCAGGTTTTACTGCGGAACATTGTGGGGTAGCAGATTAACTTACAGAGTAATTATTCATAAAACCTGAATAGATCATCAGTCTGTATATAATTCAGTGTAAAACATGTGCATGTGTATGACGCAGGTTTATTTTTCAGTTAAATTTTAGTTTTCTAGTAAATCGTATTGTTGGCTGTGGCTGAACGTGATCGTGTTTACTTTCTGTTTTTGTGCCTGAGATTTTGTAAAGGAAAACTGTTGATGTAATGATTAGTTTATTTTTATTCCTGTGCTGAAATTTCATCACTATTGACAACTTCACGCTATTCTCGTTTTCTTTCTTGATTGTTTGTTGTCAACAATCACCCACACTTTCTCTCACAGTCTATTGTTCTTTGTTCTGTCATCATTCATCACCCCTTTGCAGTTCTTTGATTTTCACAAATATAATACGTTAGAATAATTCAGTGGACAGAAAGATGCCTTCTGCTTTTGTAACATTGTGTTGGTTTTGAGCGGCCAAGCAGCTTAAGAGCCGTCTAAACCCAGAGTCATGACCTACAGGGTGTAGACACAATGAGAAACAATGTCCTTAATATATAGACAATAGCTTGGGCTTATAATGATGTAAGAGAGGGAGTTGATATTTTTTAGATTATCTTTGGTGTGTCTGAGTCTGAAATTAAGATTTTTTTTTTATATTGACAAATGATGGCTTCCACCTCACTAACTTGCTTTAAACACATTTTTATTCTGTTGAGTGTATTGTGCATACTTTGCTTTTCATTAAAACATCTTATACAGTGTTGGTATTGTACTGGGTACAATTTGTAAACCAATACAACCTTAAACAGTCCAGTATAAACTCATTTATTAAAGCAAGTTGGAAATCTCTAAGACTTGAGTCCTGATGCTGCTCAATAATCCAGGTAGATGAAGTTCCTCTAGATGGATTCTTTGTTGAAACGTTTCGTCGTTTATCCAAAAGACGGAATTATTCGGACTGAAGAAATAGTTTGGATAGAAGACGAAACATTTCAACAAAGAAGAATCCGTCCAGAGGACCTGGCTCAACCTTGTTAGACTGAGTCATATTTTTTACTTGTTTTTCTTTTTTTTTTTTCCTGTCTGCTAAAAACATGATGTTGTTAAATGATTCAGTTCAAAGTTGGATCAAAATCGGTCTTTTCTGTGGATGTGTTTTTGTTGTGTTGTATTTTTTGCTTGTCTTAAGAACCAGTTACCAACAGATCACTGCAGTTAGATCGTGGCTTAGCTGTCAGACGAATCTCGAAAAAACCTGCGACGCTGTTGATTGTTGGGTAGGAAGAGGTCTGCTGTCAGACGGTGAACTGCAGTAATGATACTCTGCTGCTCTGAACTTTATCACACCCTCATTAAGAGAACAGGCAGTAAAGTGCTTTGTGGCTTTTTAAATGAAGCCATGATAATTATCTGTAGAAAGACCCTGCCAAATGTCAGCACAACACGGGCATCGTCTGCGCAGTCTGAATATTTTCTACATTAAACATTACTTTTTATGTACATTAAACCACAGTTGTTGTTATTTTTTTTTACCACCTCCTTCTTCTCCTTTTCTCCCAGCTGTTTACTCTTTAGCGGTTGCTAAAGCAAGTCATTGTGCTTAATCTCACTCATCCTATACATCCTCTGTCCTCACATTAACCACGACCATGTCCTCTCTAACTGCATCCATATATCTTCCATAAAACTTCCTCTTTGTCTTTATCCTGGCAGCTGCATTTCTAACATCCTTCTACCAGTATACCCACTGTCCCTCCTCTGGACATGTCCAAACCTTCTCAGCTTGGCCTCTCCAACTTTATCTTCCAGTCATTCAACATGTGATCTCATTCCTAATCTTATCCGTCCTTGTCACTCCCAAGAAAAACCTCATTATCTTCAACTCTGCCATTTTCAGTTCTTTGTCTCGTCTTTTTGCCACCGTCTCCTGTCGGTGTCGGCGGTGACAGGCGATTTTGCCTCCTACTCAACTACATTGATGAAAACAAAAAAACTAGTTCTCATTTTCGCTATTGCTGAATGTAGCATATGCCTCATTTCATCCATTTCAGGTACCAGTACATATTTTTCTCCATTTTTCATGACGGCGGACATACGTTTTACTCATTTTTCAGAAACTCAGCTTCAAATTTTTTTATGTGTCAGTGCCGAGCCATAAGAAAATGCTCTGGTCAACCCCTCCTCCTCCTCCCGCCCCCGCTACTTAGACTGTACATGCTCACCCACCCCCCAATCACTGCTCAAATGCTCACGTGAGTGCAAATAATGTGTAAACAAGCTCTGGAGCCCAGGGGAAGGAGAAAAAGACAAGTGGAGGAGAAACGCCACACAGGCAGAGTCACAGGAAAAAATGTCAAATTATTTCTCTGTTGCAGAACCGTACCTTAGCTGACGTAGTTTGCTGATCATTAAACAGTGTTTACACTACATCAGCTTTCTGCAGCAGCCTGAGCTGAGATGAAAACTACCATAGTCCTGTAGGAAACTCTCACCTTACATTTCTCAGGGAAGTTTGTAAGGATGAAATCTGTTCAGCAGCTGGTATACATTTGTTTACATATTGTTCTTGTTGGTTTTTTTTTGACTCTTGCCTTTTTTATTGCAATTACAGAAGACGATGAACTCTGTGCATTAAACATTTCCTTCATTTAGTTAATAAATATAAAGAAACGTGCTGGTTAAAAACTAGGGATGCACGATATTGGATTTTTGGCCGATATCTGATATGTTAAAACTTATTTGGCCGATAACCGATACTGATATTTTATATACGTTCCTTTGTCAGAACATAGCCCTCTTATTTAGGCTTATTTGCTACAAAAATTGTGTAACAGCTGTAAGAGCTGGTGACATATTCAGTAACAGCCATTTGATATACACAGCAATTAACTTATATTAAATGAAAAGTGTTAAATGTTATTTATTAGCATTAGTCACCTGCGATGCTGTCTCACTTGTGGAGGCTCGTTCTGGGTTTTTAGCTGCAGTCTGGGATCTTGTGCACTCTTGTGCATGAAAGACATCCTTTTAAAGTTCCAAGTTTTTGTTTATCCATTGTGCTGTAAGACTAATCATGCTAACGGGGCTAACACAACGTCCAAATGTCTGTGGTAAAACTCACCCAAGTGCTATCGGCTATTACCTTCTCAATGACGTTGGAAATGACGGCTTGTAACTCAGGTAAGGCTACATCGGAAAAATATCTCATACTGGGGATGACGTAGCGAGTCTCAATTTAGTCCAAAAATCTTTGGAATCCAAAATCCTCAACAAAAAAAACATCCACTCCGCCGACATTTTGAATTTTCCTCTCTGCCTTATGATCAGGCTGCGCGTGACGTCATCACGTTGGGCTGCCGCTGCAGGCATCCTTGTCACTGGGTTGTCGTACAAAAACCGCGTCTTTGAGTTATATTGATGGAATGGTTGATGTCCAATATTGAACTTTAACGCTAATATCGGCCGATACCGTTACCATGCCGATAATATTGTGCCTCCCTAGTAAAAACACAATTCATACGCATGCTCCAAAATAACTAACAAAGTTCTTTTTAGTAAAAATGGGCAGATAGATGAAGTTATAATTTCCATTTCTGTGTGTACTTGATGTGTGAAAATGATGATATGATTATTTTATTATGAAAATAATATCAGCAGACCTTTTGGTATCAGTTCTCAGGGCTCCTAGTGGTAAAATGTGCAAACGCTGTTACTGATGAGCATCTGAAAGTACTGTTCTGCAACTTTACTTTTGTTTACTGTACCTGTGTTGGGTTCTCCCTCCTCTACAAAACTGACAGCTGCTACTGATAATGACTTCATATCTGTTTTCATGCATGTGATACTGTAAGACATTTTCATTGGTGATAGGTGTTTACACTGTGCTTACCAACATTTTTGCTGCATGTAACATCTATGTTCAATGTTTATGTTGGGAAATTACTCCAGCCTCCTACTCTGAGTCATTAGCCTTCTACTCAAGAAGTTATTAAAAACACTTTCTCCAGGTTGTACAACAAAGCTGGTCTCACTACTCTCTTGTAAACCTTCCTTTTGAACTTTTCTGCCACCCTTTTGTCACAAATCACTCCTGAAACTCTTCTTCATCCACTCCACCTTTCCTGGACACTATTCTTCACCTCTTTCTATACTCCTCGTTTTCTTTGACAGTCAGTTCTAAGTACTTGGAAGTCCTTCCTTTTGTGGCCCATGCTCTTTGTACCGGTAGTTTTACTGTTACATCTGAGGAAGGTGGAGCAGTGAGGCAGATTTTAGCATTGAGATCTGCCATAAGGAAATGTTGTACACATTATATGTTCTGTACCCACTTCATGAACTACTGCACAACCTATATTCTCTTTCCCTTATAAGTGATACCTGGTTTTCTGCAGACAGTTGGCTCATTAACAGCCAGCCGTGTTCAGTCTCTTTCATCAGGAGACACATAACGGCTCTGGAGGATGGTAGACATGAAAAGAAATCTGCCTGATTGATACACATGCACACACACACAGTGAAGTTTGTCTTTCTATCTTTACAGGGACTTTGCATGACTTCCATTCATTTTTCATTCATTTCTATAGCCTGACCCTAACTCTAAACCTAACCCTAAACATAACCATTACCAGTACATACCCATCTCTAAACCTAACCCTAAACATAACCATTACCAGTACATACCCATCTCTAAACCTAACCCTAAACATAACCATTACCAGTACATACCCAACTCTAAACCTAACCCTAAACATAACCATTACCAGTACAAACCTAACTTTAAACCTAACCCACCAATGGCACTTCTTCTTATTGGGCCCAGGCTTTGGGCCCCATAAGGAGCAGTTGATCCTCACAATGTAGTATGTGTTGGAAAAATGGGCCTTACAAAGACACACACACACGCACGCACGCACGCACGCACGCACGCACGCACGCACGCACACACACACACACACACAACCTTATAATTTTAATTGTGTATGTTTTAAAATCAGCCGTTTGTTTCATTTCTCCTGCTTGTGTCATTGCTGTTGTCTACTTGTCTCGCTGCCTCTTGATCAGGTTGGCATTGACCTACCTAATAAAAAATAGTTATTAATATTATCATTTGCTTCTAGTAGGCATTGTCATTATATTGATCCTCTTGGCAGCTGCAGTTTTAAAATTGCACTTTGTGATACTATGGTAGTTTTATTTTGTCCTTGTAATAAAAAAAGCACTGTTTTTAGATAAGGGGAAAAAATGTTGATTTGAAGGAAGACTGCTTCAAACATTGAGAGTTTGGTGCCTGTGATGAAACTGAATGAAGGGTTTGGGCTAGAGGATGGAAGCTGGATTAATGAAATGAAGAAACAGAAAATGACTGGTTGTGGAGGAATTGGGATAACTGGGTTTTAGGACTAAAATTTTACCGGTACTCAAAAGCTCAGTGAATGGATTTTTTCCTGAGTTGTGACACTGCTGGCAGCTAATGGTTTTGATTCATTGAGCTTGTACAGTTGTAAGTGGTTTTGTCTGAAAAGAGAAAAAATAAAACAACACATTCATACTGGGACATGGTTCTACTGTCTACATCAAAAGCAACATATCAGTTAATGCTCTTTTCCTTGTTTTTATTTGCTTTCTCTCACACACAACTTATCTCCTACATAATTGTTTTTCTTTGCACGCAAGCACATAAATAATTTTGAGCTGAACTTCAGAGAGGTCCATTTTCAGTTTGTTTTCTAGTCTGTTTATGTTTGTGGGGTTATCTGTTTCGACTATGTGTTTGCAGGTACTTTTACTCAGGTAATCAGTTCTTTGTATCAGGAATTGTAATTAATTTCAGTTTTCTCATCTGGTCTGTTTTCTCATACATCCACTGTTGTGACTGAGTGGAGTGTCATCGCAGACGCTTCTCACAAGAACTTTAAATTTTCACAGTTTAACTTTTTTATTGTTCAACCATCTACAAATTGTATTACATTCTGGTAATTGTATCATCTTTTTTTTTCAGGCTCTCCACCAGTTGTACTATGATCCCAACATTGAAAACAAGAATCTGGCCCAGAAATGGCTGATGCAAGCTCAAGTTTCACCTCAAGCCTGGCAATTCTGCTGGGCCTTACTAAGCCCAGATAAGGTGGAAAAAAATAACACGCACAATAATGCATACAAACAGTGAAAAAAATGTATATATATTTTAGTTTGAATCCATTTTATTTTCTCTCTCAGGTGCCAGAGATTCAGTACTTTGGAGCTAGTGCACTTCACACCAAAATCTCAAGATACTGGTCAGATATTCCCTCAGACCAGTATGATTCTCTGAAAAGCCAGTTGTTCTCCCAGATTGCCCGTTTTTCCTCCAGCTCCAAGATGGTGCTCACCCGTCTGTGCGTGGCACTGGCCTCTTTGGCTCTCAACACGATGCCTGAGGCCTGGCCTGGCGCAGTGGCAGAAATGGTTCGAGTGTTTCAGGAGGAGGGGGGAGGGATGGATGGACAGGCACGGTGCCTGGCATTGTTGGAGCTGCTCACTGTCTTACCCGAGGAGTTTCAAACTAGCCGCCTGCCGCAATACCGAAAAGGACTGGTATGTTTCCAACGCACATTTTAGGCCATCTGATTAGAATTAATATGTGTATTTTATTTATTTCTTTATTTTTATTTTTTACCAAGTGTTTGTGCATTAAAACTAACTTAATTCATTTTCCATTTATATCTCGTATAAATGTTTATTTTGGTCCAGAGTTTAGGAGAGTCATTACTTTATCTAGGCAAAGGTAATTACATATATAGTAATTTACATTAATTGATTTATTTAATACAAAAATAAGTATCAATAACTATAATGTCATTGCAAAAACGCATCAGCAATATGGACCAGTTTACATTCACTAACTGATTGGCTGTTGTCATTTAATGTCTAGGTCCGAGGAGCCCTGGGCCGAGAGTGGGGATCTGTCTGTCCTCTATTGCAACAACTTCTTCGGAGGACAGATAGTCCAGGGGCAGTGAAAGCTCGTGTGCTGCGCTGCCTTTCATCCTGGATGCTGTTGGACGTGCCCCTCAACGAGAGTGAAAGCCTGGTTCATGACTGCTTCAGTGCCCTCCCTGACCCAGAGCTTTTCGACACAGCAGTAGAGGCAATAGTCAATGCTATTTCGCAGCCGGACTCCCAAAGGTATGTACATGGTCGTCGGTCACCAACAAATAAGGACCAGTACAAAACAATGTTATTACATGTATTCTAACTGGGATTTTAAGCACAAAAATGACCATTAAATAACTCAAGTAGACTTGAGAAAAAAGATGGCTACCACAACAGTTTGAAAATTTACTAGGTGGGTATTGGAAGGGCAGCAGAGAGGAATAAAAGGGTGGAAGGAGGAACTGATACAAAGCAAATTATCAACCAGAGGGAGAAGAGAGGCATTTCTCAGTTGGTTGGTGTTACTATGGTTACAGAGCTGGGGAAAGATGTCATCATGCCCCTGTTGATTCAGATATGGTATGGCAGGCACCCATTACTTCTCCCCTAGAGACGGCGTGGGCAGGGTGAGGAGGCTGTGCAAAGAGAGGGAAGGCCCCCGTCATACTGCTTTTTTTAGGCAGAGGAGCCGGCTAGAGGTGTAAAAATGTTTTGTCTTTATCTTCTTTACCTTTGTGCTCAAGCAGACAGACTCTGAGACTGCTTATGACAAATCAGTTTAAAGACAATGACATGTCAAGCAGATAGGAAGAGCATTAAAGGCAGAGAAGTTACTGGAAGCACATCCTCTGTCCCAGCACAGCGCACATTGTTTTTTGTCCCCCTGTTGCATAGCAAAAAGGGGAAATAAGGGATACCCCCTTGAGCATGCATCAGGATACCCTCTGTACATTCGTCAGTGCATGTTGTGAGCTGGATAATATGGAAAAATAAGCTACAGGCCAACTTCCTTTTTGGTGTTTGGCTGCGTCTCGGTGTAAGAAAGGTTTCTTTCTGAAATTGAGTTGACATGTCTAAATCCAAGATGGCCACCACCAGTGGCAAGACACAGATATTTTGTGGGGCAGGTGCTCAAGGAAAAAAAAGGACACCCTGCACATGGAACCACCAGCTGCGTTAGTAGGAGATTTATTACACATAAATAAAATATTATGAGTAATAAACTAATTATAAAAATAAATAAATTATAAATTATAAAATTGATTTGCACATTTTGTGGCATTGGTAATAAATTTTACTCTTTAATCCAAATCATCAACTTTATTGTCATTCAACATTTTAAAAACATGAAAATTAAATGTGTTCCCAGGGACCAGTAGTAAAAATCCATGACAATAAATAACTTAAAAACCTTCAGTAAATAAATTACATTCCACAATCTAAAATTAAAATAATCATATTTAAAAAGAAAATTATTATAAACAAACGGCAATAAAAATAAAATAACAACATAGTCAGAAGAATAAAACACAACAATACAGTAAAGCAGAGGACAGCTTAAAACCCAGAGTTCATGAACCTCGCAGCCTCGGGGTAGAAACAGCTCCTGAACCTGCAAGCTTTCAGGCTGTGCAGCCTCCTGCCTGAGGGGGTGTGGGGTCCCTCATGATTTTCCCTGCTCTGGTCCTGTCTGCTGAAGTAAATGTCCTCTAAAGAAGGGAGGTTGCTTTTTTTGAGTTTCTGAGCAGATTTAATCACTCTTTGCCGCACTTTCTTGTTAGACCCAGAGTAGTTGCTGTACCAAACAGTTATGTCAAAGGTCAGGACACACTCCACCACACAGCTATAAAAAGAAAACGACACAGCAACACTGAGGCTGGCCTGCTTCAGCCTCCTCATAAAATACAGGCGTTGGTGAGCCTTTTTCACAATGCTGGCTGTGTTCGTGGCCCATGCAAGGTCAGTTCAGTTTATTGTATTTATGTAGCACCTGTCACTGGACAGGTATAGACTCAAGTATTTAATTATGGTCACCAGCTCCACAGTCTCTTCCCTAATGAAGATGGGAGGAGGAGTGTGTGCTCTCAACCTGAAGTCCACCATCATTTATTTTCTTTTTGCCACACTAATGCATGTTATTTGCTTGGTATTAATCATCAAAGTCTCCTACCTCCCTCCTGTACACAGATTTGTTGTTGTTAGAAAGCAGGCCAACAACATCAACTGTGTCTAGCAAACTTCACAATATGATTGCCTGTGTACCTTGCAGATCAATCATATGCGAGTAGTGTGTACAAGAGGGCTCAGGACACACCCTTGTGGGGCGCCAGTGTTGAGTATGATGGTGGTGGACAAGACATCGTGGATGGTCACATATTGTGATCTTCCCATGAAGAAGTCCAGGACCCAATTGCATATCAATGGCTTCAACCTCAGCAGCAGCAGCTTATTAGCAAGTTTCTATGGAACAGTTGTGTTAAATGCAGAGCTAAATCCAGGAAAGGCAGTCTGACATATGAGTCCTGGGCTCTAGGTGAATGAGGGTGGAGTGGATGACAACTGATGCTGCATCAGACACATACTGGTTCTTTCTGTCTGCATGCTGCTGGAGATCCACAGAGATTTCAACTGAGTCCTTGATATAGGCCAAAACCAGATGTTCAAAACACTTCATAAAAACTAAGGTGAGGGCCACCGGACGATAATCGTTCATGCTTTCGCTGCTAAACTTTTAGGCACTGGAATGATAGTGGACTTCTTGAAACAGGCAGGCACCACAGCTTGGGACAAAGAGGTGTTAAACATGTCTGAAAACACTCCAGTTCTCTAGTTCTTGGGCACATTCTCTCAAAATCCGCCCTAGAATGTTATCTGGGCCTGATGCCTTCCGAGGATTTTTTTTTTTCATTTACCCTTTATTTATACAGGTAGTCTCATTAAGCCACGAGAACTCATTTTCAAGAGAGACCTGTTTTTAGGGAGCAGATGGTGGGGGGTGGGGCGAATGAAGGTGGAGGGAGGTATGGGTGTTTCACCTTTTCCACCCACATTTTGATATTGACAGTACCGGGAGGTGAACCTGCGACTTTCCGATCACAAGCCCATCTTCTAACCTCTGCGCCACCACTCCCTCAATCCTATTAATCCTCCGAAATGTCCTCCTCACATCCATTCCAGTCGTAATGAAAGGTGACTCACCTGGGCGTGTTTGTGAACTTGTTGCTATGAGAAAAGATGGATAACTCGAAGCGTGCATAGAATTTGTTCAGAGCATCAGGGAGTGATGGATCTTGGGAGCAATCAGCATCCTTCTCTTTGTGATGCTCCTAATACCTTTCCATGTGTTTCGGGAGTCACTGGTGGCAAAGGGACCTCCAAAGCATTGAGGGTCCCTTTTGCCACCGGCAAATGGACCCTCAATCCTTTGTGCATAGACAGTCTTTGCTTTTTGATGGCTGCATCCAGTTTCCTCCTTGTTGCATTCACTGCCTTCACACACGGGGCGGCTGTGGCTGAGTGGTTAGAGCAGTCGTCCTCCAATGCGAGAGTTGGGGGTTCGAATCCACCAGCAGTCACATGTCGAAATGTTCCTGGGCAAGACACTGAACCCCTCGTTGCCTCTGATGTGTGTCCCATCGGTGTATGAATGTGATAAAGTCTCACTGATTAGTCTCATTAGAAGGATTTGTTCAATTAGCTTTGTAGAGATCTAGTAGAGTGCTGTATGGATGGGTAAATGAGGACACAGATTGTAGTGTAAAGCGCTTTGAGTATCTTGAAATAAGATAGAAAGGCACTATATAAGTACAGTCCATTTACCATCCATTTACTGTCACAGGGTATCCACACCAGAAGGTGGAGTTCTATGTCCTCAAAAAAAAGTGCACGTCTCCATTTAGCCAAGGCTTCTAATTAGGATGGACTGTGATTTTTATTTTCAATAATATCAATACATTTGGTGATGCACCCACAGACAGATAAGGCATATTCCTCATGGTCCACTCTGCCTTTATGAGTGACTGCTTCTCTGAAAACACACCAGTTGGTGCAGCCAAAACAATCCTGGAGCGTAGGGATGGCTCCACTAGTAAAAATCCTCTTAGAGGACTTATTTTTAAACACAGAACGATGCTTGGGAACCAGCAGGGTGGAGGTGTGATCAGAGGAGCCAAGGTGTGAGTGGGATGAAGCCTTGTACACTTCCTGTCTGTTAGTATACAGACAGGAACTCCCACATCCACCACCTGGCTCCACCATTGCTCCTGGTGGTGGATAAAATAGCTCCCTCCACTCATCAGCATCACTCTGTGCCACCTCGGACAAGAAAATATAAAACTGTTCTTATACACATTGTAACTCCTATATACTTTAATATCTTTCACCAAAACATACATTTTAACACGTGTTCCCTGTTTAGTTCCAGTCTAGAAAAGCACTCATCTTGAAAACCACAAACATTTACTATTCAAATCCTTCAGCGACAGAGCAAATAGGCAACCGCTCGTTCAGATAATACTTTGATTTTGTGGCCACTTGTGTGCTCCAAATGAAAGTGGTTTTATACCAGTGTTCATTATAAAATTGACTTTTCTTTTTATATTCTGTTTTATGATTCTGTTTCTTTGTATTTCTCTGTTCCCCTCTCACCATCAGTACTAAGCCTTCTTCCCAGTCTTTTGTTCTCCCTCTGTTTAAACACATTACACTCAACTCATTTGGGGTAATGCTATTGGTCCAGCCGCATCCTGTTGCCAAGCAACTCATTTCCCCTGTCTCAGATTGCAGATGGGAGCAGAGGTGGAGAGAGGGACAGTCATGTTGGGGGTGGGGGGGGGGGGGGTAATGAGAAGTAGATGGTAAGGGAGGCAACTTAGGAGGAGGAGTCAGGATCGGAGCAAAAAGAGAGAGGATGAGTAAGAGACTGCAGCAAACACTTTCAGAGAAATGTATAAAATATGTTTTTTTATGAGGTGTATCTATTCTGGGCTTTTATTCACATCCCATACACACAAAATCCTTTTCTCCCCATGAGCTTAGTGCATGACCTGCATCTTAAAAGCACCTTATTAAAATGAATGACCTTTTAAAGTGTGCACACACATCAGCCCAGCCACTTAGTGAATATAAATGCAATTCCTGGCAGTGCTCCTGAAATTGGTTACACACACAGAGTGTTGTCCTGGAGAAGCACAGCTATTCATACACATTGTGTCTCACCTGGGTGGAGTTTTCTCCTGAGGATGCTGCATCAGTCTAGCCTGCTGGTTTGAGGCCTCGGCTTCAAAATGCAGCTTCTTGCTTCTCCGTTCATACGCAGGCCTGTGGGAAATTATTTTAGGAACGTTCTATTCTGTTTTTATCCTTTCAAAACAGATGGTTGATATGCCTCAAATTTGTTTTCACTACACTTTCCAGCTGTTGTTAGTTTTCCACAGATGAAGACAAATTTGTTGACAACTGTACAACTTATTTAAACTGATTCATTTCTCTTAAAAGATGATTCAGTTAAAGCAATTGTCTAATATAGATCAGCGTGCCTTTAGTATGTAAAATAATTTCTTTACACAATTTTTGTTTACACTATTACAAAGATATGTCCATTTATATTTAATCTTAGTGTCACAGGTGCCTTCTAGTTTTTCATTAGCCATCAAGTCTTTTAAACCTCGTAAACCCCAAGAGGTTTCTTTGAAGTCCTTGCTCGAAAGCAACATGCTCCAATAAAATGGGGTGTTTCTCAAGAATTAAAAACTATGTGAACTCTGTTCTGTTGACAGGGCGGGGCGCCCTCCTTGGATAAAGTTAGGGGAAACACTGCAGAGTATATAACACGAAATTAAATAATTTGTACCTTGAAGCCGCTTATGATTATGCCTCATTAAAAAGCCTTCAAATGCTGAACTTTAAATGTTGTAATGCTTTGAAATGCTGTTAGGGGGCTGCATTCAACCAGTTTAAATCCTTTAAAAAGAAACTAAGACGGATCAATTTGTGATTTCTGTCCAAGGTGTCCCCCGCCTCTCACACAGTAATAGCTGGATATGGGCACCAGTGACCCCCGCGACCTGAAAAGGAAGAAGCGGGTAAAAGATAATGGATGGATGGATATTGCTAATTATTTTTTTAATTTTTGAAATGGTAAAATCATTATCTCAAGAATATTATCTAAGCCAGATATTAAACTTTAAACTTTTCTCTGTTCTTTTCAGTTTAAAGGTGGCATTATTACGGTAGTCATAAAAATATTAGCATGATCTAAAAGTCAAATGACTAAATATATTAACGTCAAACTTTATTACGGTTAGTTTAAAAATGGCCTAATTAAACTCATTACCATTGCATTAGTATTGCTGTTATACTGTATTAAGACCAGTCGTGAATGATGACACTGACACATGCACAAAAAGAACATGCAGACTCCACCCAGAAAGGCCTCCAGCTGGGGTTTGATCCAGCGTCCTTTTTGCTGCGAGGCAACAGCTCTACTAACTGATCCACCGTGCCACCCAGTTTTTAAACCGAGTTCTTGAAACTTAGTTTTTTTAAAGTGTTGATCACTGTTTGTCTTTTTGTATTTTATAGATATGTGAACACTTTGCTGAAACTTGTTCCTCAAGTACTCGCTCTCCAGGATCAGGTAAGAGAGGCTGTTCAGAATGGAGACATGGAGACCTGCCATGGAATCTGTCGGATTGCCGTCACTCTGGGAGAGAACCACTCGAGGTGTGTATGCATGTGTAAACAATGATATTGTACTGTCATCAGCATATGTGCCGAATATGACTTGATAGCCAGATAAATACCAACTACACCTCAACATCAAGACTCTGAAGACAATGACTTGGTGTCCACGGGTTTATTGATGTTTCAAAGAAGAGGGGGGGGGGGGGGGATTAAAACATACAGAAAAGCATAATTAGCTCTAGAGCTTTAAAAGATGCAGAGTGTACATGACATAACCACATAACTCACTCACAATCTGGACTAAACAAATTTTCTATGAACTTTAAGTGTAACTTATTACATCATATTCAATATTAGATTCTTTTTGATTAATTTATCCACCTGTAGGTATTTTAACGTAAACTTTAGCACTTTAATAATAGTGCCACATGGTAGCACTATTGTGGCATCTTTTCAACCTTCACAGGTAAGCACTTTGTAAAAATAATTTATAACCATGAACACAAGCAGAGTAAATCAGTACACGCCCTCAGTGTTACTCAAGGCATGAGATATTAACAGATGTTGCTCATAGAATAAAAGCAGAACTCTGAGGCATATTTTTGTCAGCAGATAGATGGCACGACTTCCTGATGCTGACATCACGTGACTCTTAAATGAACGCACCAAGTTACAGAAACACTATCTTTCAGAAAGTGATACAATAATATTAATAATTATACGATAAGTCGATAACATCAAAATGTGAGTGGAAAAGGTGAAACACTCACACCAGTCTCCACCCTCCTTTGCTCCACTCTGGACCCTTGAGCAAGGCCCTTAACCCTGGTCTAAGGTCTGTGGTTGAGCCAGGAAGGTGTAAAAACAATCGCCAAGTCTTCGTGCGAGTTAGTTCGCTGTGACGACCCCTGAAGAAGGAAGCAGCTGAAAGAAGAAAGAAAAAATACAAGAAGTCATCTATGCTCAGATCCCTGTTATCTGGAACAGCTTTGAAACAGAAAAAAGACATGAATGGATAGTTTACATAAAATAAATATTAATGTGCATGAAATGCACAGTATTGAGATCCTGTTTTTCCTCCTATGACATTTTTGGCCACTTAACTACTAGTGCATGCTTCATCTTAATGCAACCATTCAAACTTCAAATTAAATTAAGAGCATTCAGGAGAAAATTTCCGGGACTTTTCGGTCTTGTGCCATTTATGTTTTTTGAAATATTAAGCTTTATTAAAGCTCTATTAGGAAACATTGGGGAAATTTCAGCAGCCTGGATTTCGTCCAGCACTGCCCACTTCTGACAACGTTTTAATGGAAGTTCTGCAGAGTTTAGGTGCTTTGCCACAGTCTCAACTCTCATCAATTCCTCACCACACCGCACCAGTTTAGGACCTGTCCACTGCCAGTAGCCACCCTCACTCCCCCTGGTTTATGGGACCACCATGTTCATGGTTCCAAGCGGACTGCTCCATGATGATGATTTTGACGTAAGCAGACAGCCGCCTTCCTCAAAATGAGTGAATTTGTTTCTTTTTGTTTGCCATCTGTGTAGGACCCTGTTGGAGCAGGTGAACCACTGGCAGAGCTTCCTGGCTTTAGTCAACATGATCATGTTCTGTACGGGCATTCCTGGCCACTATCCAGTCAATGAGACCACCAGCTCCCTCACACTCACTTTTTGGTACACACTACAAGTAAGAAATGCAAAACCCACATCTTCAATAGGGTGATAAAGATTTACAACAGCTTGATAAGAAATAATGCATAATTTCATTCCACCACATGTAACCTCTAATCCTTGAATCCTTGATAAATGCTCACTAAATATTCTTTTTCACAGCAGGCTTTGTTTACATACTTTACTCTCCTTTATTCCAAGCACAAACTGTAAATTTAATCAGATACATTGGCTTGTGGTACGTCAAAGCTGGCTTTATGCTGATTTTAGAATGACACTAGTCCTACCTGAACATCTCAGTGTGTAAATCTACTTCTTATTGGGTTCTCTAAAACGTTCTAAAATGTACAAGTTTGCACATTCTTTGTTTCAGACACAAAAACTGTCTTTTTGGTTATTTTTCTATTCTTAGGATGAAATCATGTCATTTGAGTCAGACAAGCAGGCAGTGTACCTTCAGGTCTACAGGCCAGTTTATTTCCAGTTGGTGGATGTTCTGCTGCACAAAGCTCAGTTCCCCTCTGACCAGGAGTATGCGTCCTGGTCCTCAGATGAAAAGGAGCAATTCAGGATTTACAGGTGCGTATGTTTGTAATGTGAATTCCTTCTTATGTCACTGTGTGAACATGTTGTATTCTGCTGCATACTTAAGAAACTTCTCCCCGACGGGAGGACTGTTCAGCAAAAGAGTCAATTTTTTTTTTTTTTATGGTCTCTCACCAGACAGGCAGATGAGTGTGCAAAACATGTCTGTCAGATAAAATACTTGATAGGATTTCATGGTTTCATGCCCCTGAAGCTTTTGTTTGTGCATGTGTGTCCTTCAGGGTGGATATCTCGGACACACTCATGTATGTATACGAGATGCTGGGAGCAGAGCTGCTGAGTAACCTGTATGATAAACTAGGTCGAGTGTTGACTAATATGGAGCAGCCTACCTCATGGCAGGTGGGTGAGACACACAAACACTTGTAAACAAAAATATGGATATTTTTAGTTAATTTCTTTGTTGCTGAGAAGCTTGCTCTAATAAGTCTCAATGCTCAATTTAAAATCAAGACAAGCAATTGAATATAATACCAGGTGCAATGTTTACTACTTTTTCTTTTTTTATTGTCATATTGCGTATGTTCTCTTGCAGCACACAGAAGCTTTGCTGTATGGCTTTCAGTCCATAGCAGAGACGATAGATGTGAATTATTCTGACGTCATCCCAGGCTTGATAGGACTCATCCCCAGAATCAGCATCAACAACGTTCAGTTAGCTGACACTGTGATGTTCACAATAGGTAAAGTTATGCACATTATGTACTAAAAACACGTTAGAAAAATGTATAGTTTGTAAACAAAGTGTTACAATAAGAAAATTAAATATTTTCTCCTGCCTCAACACTGGTCTGCTCTCTATAGGTGCTCTGGCTGAATGGTTGGCAGACCACCCAGTGATGCTCAGCAGTGTCCTGCCTCTGGTGTTACAAGCATTAGGCAACCCAGACCTTTCTGTTTCTTCTGTCTCAACGCTTAAGAAAATTTGCAGGGAGTGCAAATATGACCTGCCACCGTACGCAACTAACATTGTAGCAGTGTCTCAGGTATCTTTACATTTGCATGGCATTTATTTGTCTGTCTAGTAAGAGAAGTAAGAAAGCAGCTGATAATACAGCTTTTAACTAGGGATGCACCAATCCACTTTTTTACTTCCAATCCTGATACCTAAATCTGAATATCGTCCGATCCTGTTCCGATATCATCATCATCATTGATTTTATATGAGGCTGTAATAATCTCCTCTCAAGTACAATTTGTACAAATATATGCATGCATGTCCAAAAAGGCAACTTGAGGTAAGTTTTATTAATGTTGGATAAGTTTTAAAGTTAGAATTAAATTCTGCTAACACAAAACATGATTCTTTTTATTCCTAGCTTTAAAGTGGATATTAAAGTGATTGATTGTTTAAAGTTATTTTATATTTTTTTAAATAAGGGGTAGATATAAGATTTTATTTCTTTCTGCACTCTTTTCATTCAATGTTTTCTTTTTGATGAATTTGTTTTGTTTCTTTTAAATGAATGAATAAATGAATTAAATAAAATGTTAAATGGCTTTAAACACCTGCTAAGTTCATGGCATAAACCAACAGACATGTTTTTAGTTATTTACATCACTTTATAATGTAGCTGTTTTTGTTTCGTTTA